GGTATGTTATGGGGATGGTAATGAAAAGAATTGATGTAGTATTGAAAGGTATCTGTATTTTTTTATATTAGATTTCTTATCACATATTTGTTTTAAAGCAAATGGAATTATTATTTACCAAATATGACTACAAGTCAACAGAATGTGCTTTTAGAATGTATTCTGTGTAGTGCAACTTGATTATTATGGAACCTTTGCCCATTTATTACATATAAATTTTGATATTACTCACGATGCACAAAAAATTATCCTCATTTCAAACTATTTGCCATCTGAATTTTTGGTGTCTGTTTTTTAGTATATAATATGTATTGGAATACCTGACAGTGTCAAATCGAAGTAATCATCAATAAAGTAGCTTTGCCTGGTAAAGTGTTTTCGATAAAAAATAATTTTGGATAGTGAAATATGTTAGTTTTGAAACGCTCTTTTGTTCATTTGTCCTATAACATTTTTTAGTTGCTCTAAGACAGTTTTATTTTTAGGTTATAAAACGTGATTATATCAACCTTTCTAGAAATATTTCGTAGGTTTTCACGCTTATGTCATGGTGCGGTACTTTCCACTAGGAAACGCGTAAAGTGTAGGTACAGTTTTACTTAGTTAACGCCCTAGGCATAATACACGTATACTCTATTATAAAAGAGGCAAGGCAGTACTAGAAAATATAAGTTATCCCGCTATCATTGGAGTTGCTATCAGAAGATATTTTGCTGCGGTAGTTTCGAAAACGAAGACCGAAGCACATTACGTCTTATATGACACAATCCGAATCAGGTGGAGGCAGCGGATGCGTCCGCACCTCCAAAGGTCCACAAAATCCATCCCAAGGTTTTATAACCAACTGTTTCAATGAACGTTCCTCGATAGGATATCCTGTATTAATTTTATTATTAGTCTCGCCATACTTGATACATCTTACCTTACCATGCATTTTTTCGGTACACATACATGTTTATGTAGACCTCAAAACTGTCCGTCAGCAGATTTTGGCGTATTCAAGTACGCGTGAGCAGTAACATAAAAGGTCTGAAACGAAGCTGAAAACGGAGTGTGAGGCTCGTGCGTATTACTCTTACGCCACGCTTTACCCACTTCTTTACTGATTTTGAGAAAAAAAAAACCGATTGTTTTGCAGTCTAACATATTGGGTATCTATGACACTGCGTGATCAGATCAGATCAGATCCAGGCAGAATTTNTCCACTAGGAAACGCGTAAAGTGTAGGTACAGTTTTACTTAGTTAACGCCCTAGGCATAATACACGTATACTCTATTATAAAAGAGGCAAGGCAGTACTAGAAAATATAAGTTATCCCGCTATCATTGGAGTTGCTATCAGAAGATATTTTGCTGCGGTAGTTTCGAAAACGAAGACCGAAGCACATTACGTCTTATATGACACAATCCGAATCAGGTGGAGGCAGCGGATGCGTCCGCACCTCCAAAGGTCCACAAAATCCATCCCAAGGTTTTATAACCAACTGTTTCAATGAACGTTCCTCGATAGGATATCCTGTATTAATTTTATTATTAGTCTCGCCATACTTGATACATCTTACCTTACCATGCATTTTTTCGGTACACATACATGTTTATGTAGACCTCAAAACTGTCCGTCAGCAGATTTTGGCGTATTCAAGTACGCGTGAGCAGTAACATAAAAGGTCTGAAACGAAGCTGAAAACGGAGTGTGAGGCTCGTGCGTATTACTCTTACGCCACGCTTTACCCACTTCTTTACTGATTTTGAGAAAAAAAAAACCGATTGTTTTGCAGTCTAACATATTGGGTATCTATGACACTGCGTGATCAGATCAGATCAGATCCAGGCAGAATTTGTTCTAGGGTAATAGCCTGGGACCAGGCTCTATGGTGGAGAACAGGAGAATTCGATTCATTATCGTGCTTGATTCCTGCTGTATTACCATTGGTCTCGTGTTTATAAAGGACAGTTCGGTTTCGAGTTTTAGGGTGCTTCGTTTTCGAGATTTAGGGGTTTTCATTTTCGAGTTTTGGGTGCTTCGTTTTCGATATTTAGGGGTCTTCATTTTCGAGTTTTGGGTGCTTCGTTTTCAATCTAGGGTGCTTCGTTTTTGAGTTTTGGGTGCTTCGTTTTCGGGATTTGGGTGCTTCGTGCTTCGGTCTTCGTTTTCGAGCGCTTCGTTTTCGAAACTACCATTTTGCTGCTGCTAGATTGCTATTTTTTGCTACTTTTGGTGCGAGTCGTCGACCAAAGTAAGTCTTTTATTTTCTTATAGTTATTTAGTACTGTTATTCGTGGAACTATCAAGTCTTTACGCTATCTCATGAGAAGGACATTGATTTGAAGACAAATCTACTGGAATCAAACAGGATTGATTATTGTTACTGTTACCAAAGTATTTTATATAATCTAGTTTAGTGTTTTAAGATAAGTCCTGTTCAAGCGGAATCGCTACGATATAGTTTTTTGATTGTTTTATTCACGCTGAGAGTTAAATGTTATTGTCTCGGTTAATTAGCTCAAGTATCAATTATCGGATTTTTCAGTTATCTGCTTCTTGCATCATAGTTTTATGTCGTTTAGATTATTCTACCCTTTAGTCCTAATTTTATAGTTAATCTAAGTAGTTCGTATTCTTTAATTATCGCTTTCAGTTCGAACCTTCGTCTAGCTACGTTAAGCTGCATCTACGTCTATGTCTACGTTTAGCTGCGTCTACGTCTTTGTCCACGTTTTGTTATGTCGTAACTAGGCTACGAACATTGCTATTACATTGAATTGTTGTACACGCGACTACTATTGTTATGAACTCTAAGGATCTGTCATTAAATCTGCTTTGATATTCTATCATGTGGAGTTCGAATCATCTATCGCCTTCCACCGTGCTACCCCTGTTTTTGTTGAGATTTGGATTATTCGCGACCTCCAGAATTTCAGCAATTACAAAATAATCTTATCAGCATTGGAGAGTCCCAGTTTATTGTCAAGGTTTTCTGTTTGTCGATTGTTATGGCGGGGCTTCTGCGCGCTTTGCCCGTGTGGGACAGAGCCCCATACTCATAGAATATGGTCAACCTCTTTTTGTTTGGTTGTCTCATGATTGACAATTGACATACGTACGCATCTACAGATTGTACGTGTGGGGTAGGGGAGACTATCAAAAGGAAGGGAGGGGTGTTTCAGGCGCCATGGTAAATCCACATTGGATATTCACAATATGGTCAACTGACAGGTGTCAAAACAGGATAGCAACTGACCAGTATCACATGACCATATTGCTGGCAGTGGGTGGTCAGGGCACAGCTTTCAAATAAATTCCATCACTTCGATGAATCACGTCTCTTCAAAGTGACGTGATTTATTTGAAAGCTGTCGCTTGACCGGTTAATTGTTTTACTAGATCGCGATCAATGTTCAATCTCATACTTTCTAGTTTGGGAGTACAAAGAAACTGACAATGCACACATATTGGACATCAATGTTGTGATCAATTGACAGCTGTCAAAACAGGATATCTGCGGACCAGTATCACTTGACTATTATACCGATTACCTAAATGTCACCCATTGAAATTTGGCGAAAAGCAATTAATAACAAATTAGTTGTGGGTGCCACGTTCATAGACTTACAGAGGGTGCTTGTTTGCATTTTACACCCAATCCTTCTTCACAAGATAGAGCACAACTTTGGAATCACGGGAAACATACTGGCATGGCTGAGAGATTAGCTATCTGAACGGGAACAGGATACTGTAATTAATTGCGTACCCTCTGAGCAATACCAAAGTTGCACATGGTATGCCACAGGGCTCCATACTGGGGCCCATACTCTTCGCCTTGTACACAAGTGATCTAACGAAAGCAGTTAACACCGCAATGACGTTCCTGTATGCTGATGATACTAACATGTACTGTGTTGGAAAATCTGTGGACCAGGTCACAACGCTGAACAACCTTCTAAAAGAACTCGCCCTCTGGTGGAAACAGAACTCCCTGGTACCACATGCTAAAAGTGTGATGGAATAATCCTTGAAAACACTTTATTGGTCCCTCAGGCAGTTTAAGAACTAAGCCGCAACTCATATAATGGACTTCAAGTTCTAAGATGTTAGGTGTAACCATTGACAACAAGCTTTCGTGGACAAAAGACATATCAGAGCTCAAGAGAGTGTTCGTTAAGAAGCTCAATCTGATCAAATTCAGTCGCTTTTTACCCAGGACTTCACTTTTAGATCTACATTTTAAAGTAATTTTACCCTTGGTTACATATGCACTACCAATTTGGGGGTGTTGCACAAATAAGAACTAATTTAATTCTTTGCAATCCATACTCTGTAGATTTATATATACCCTCCCATGCAACATGCCCTCTGTGGATGTAAGAAAAACAGCTAAGTGGGACTCTTTATTCGACACTTACAGTAGTCCATGAGCCAAAAAGCAAAAAAATGGCAGATTAGTACCAGTCGAGGTGGCAAATGCTATCATTTATTTTATTAAAGCTTATCACTTCAAGGCTCAAAGTAAATATGATAGCAAGGTTGCCATGGCAACTGTAGGGTGTCAAAAAGAGATGCCATGCACAGTCAGTTCAGCTGACTGTATAGCGTTGCAGTTTAGTATACGTTTTAGTAGTTAGCAAAATTAGGCAACTTGTGTTGTGTTAAGAATGGTATTACGATGTCATTAAATGCAGACAAGATTTTCATCTTTTCTAATCGTCTCAGTCACATGACATCGCCGTCATTAGACCACTTCGTCATCAAAAAAAAACTTTTAAATTATTAAAACACATTATTTCTAAAATACTCAATACTATATTTTAGTAAAGTTAAATAAAATGTTAAATAAAACGAAAAAATGTCATGTATTACGGTATTAAAGAAAAGAATGAATACTTATGGGAGAATCCTGTGGCTAATTCGCTGAGAACTGGGTCCTAGTTACATAGACACCATCTTGTTTTCTTCGCGATTAATATATACAGCGCTTGTAGAGGTGAATTTTATTATCATTATGGAATCAAACATACCAAAGAAAAGAGCAAAGAGAGAGCCTTATTGTTTAATTCATTGTACTGACGATAATGGAAAACTGGTGAGTCCGAACTCACTAGAATCTTGGAAGACATTACGAAAGGCTGGTGAAATACGAAAGCATGAAGGTCTGTTGAGTGTAAAAGTAGACTCGGATAATGAAGTGCCAGATGGTGTTTTTTATCACCGTAAATGCCGAAGTATGTTTACACTAAAAAGGGAACTTAACAGTATTGTTACCAAAGCAAAGCAGAATGAGAAAGCCAGTTTAGTCAAGGAGAGCTCACAAGAAGGAAGATCATCTATTCGGAGTAATCCAAGTACATCTAGAGTGTATGAAAAAGAGTGCATTTTCTGTGGCAAGCAAGATAAAGGAAGGTTTGACACAAGCTAGAGAACTAAGAGTTAATGATTCAGTTAGAAAAGCTGCAATTAGTAAGCAAGACTCAATAATTCTGGCCATTCTTTCACGTGATTTGGTTGCAGCCGAAGGTCACGACCATAGCACTTGTTACAGCCGTTACACCAACGTAAAGGAATCTGACAAAGGCGAAGAATCTGAAGAAGACGATGACAGTGACTATGTAAAAGCTGAAAGTAGTGCTTTGTCTAGAATGTTCGACTATATTAGAAATGACCTGTTCAAGAATAATGATGTCATAGAGCTTTCCAGATTAAGTGAGATGCTAAGGGGATGGATTTTAGAGTCTGGTGTGAAAGAAGTAAAACTATGAACGACAAAACACATCCGAAGAAAACTAAATAATGCATTTGGGGACTCTTTGCTAACAATTCAAACAGAATGCAACAGAGTCCTTGTGTATCCCGACAGTCTCACACGAGAGGAGCTTGTTCTCTCTAACTACAAACTTCAAACGGAAGTTAATGTTTTGAAAGCTGCTCATTCCAACATCACCAGCTCATTCCATCACCATCACCTAAGGATGTAGCTTATCAGATTCGTCAATCTGTCAAAAATCACTGCAACAATCAGGACTGGCCCCCAGACCTTTCTAAACTTATAAAAAACACATTGATACCCCACTTCTTGTTAATACATTTCTGCAGCATCTACTGATGGGGGACGATTCAGCACTAACTGAACGAATGATGTGGCTTAGAAACTCTATTGCCCAAGATTTGGAGTTTGCAATAACTAGAGGCAGATATAAGCCCGTCAAGCACATATTATTTGCATTTGCAGTCAAGCCACTGACTGGCAACGTTGAGCTAATCCAGCTGTTGAACCGCCTTGGCCATGGTATTGCCTATACACAACTCAAAGAGATTGATACTTCTCTCTGTTTGCAGAAATCTTGCTATGGCAGCAGAAAATTGTATTCCTCTCCCTGGCAATATACATCCATACACAAGTACCACTTTGGCCTTTGACAACATCGACAGGATTGAAGGCACTTTTTCAGGTGGTGGAACATCACATCGTGAATTCGAGGAAGTGTTTGCAAGACTTGGAGAGGAGTGGTCAGTAACTGAAGAGCTCTTTGGGAAGTTGGAAGCCTTTGTCTGTGCTCTCTCTGGTGCCAAAAAAGTACATCTGATGTAAATGAGCTTCGGTATGCTCTTTTCTGTGCCAAGAAAGGTAAGGCGGAATTGCACCAGCTACCGCCGTGCAGGGACTGCTTAAAAAAGCACTGCCAAAGAGCTAATTATCAAGCTGCAGTTTGGAAGAACTTTCTTTGCAATAATGAAGTGCCAACTCCGGTTCCTCAAACTTTGAAAGACTTGAAACCGACTGGATGGATGGCTTGCCTGTACCAACAGCAGTGATTGAGCTAATCGCATGCACTTGCAAGAAGTCTTGTGATGAAACCACATGTGATTGCATCCTTAATGGCCTAAAGTGCTCAGACCTCTGTAGGCTAACAACGTGCTCCAACCACCAGAGGAAGAGGGAGACGTCATTGTAGAAGAAGATGATACAGGTACAGGTAGTGGTTTGATGGAAAACAAACTAGTGGAAATACTTTATTGAGGTATGTAAAAGCTTTTGGACTAAAGAGCTTTCAGTGCATAAAACATTAAAAACAAATTAGAGCAAAAGCCGACAACAGGATTTTTTTAAAACCTATTAATGGTGCTCCACAGGTTACCCAGTATTGCTTCTAACCAAGAAATCTATTGAAAATAAGAACATCTTCAGACGTGTATGCATTATGTCAATGCGATGACATGTTTTACTAACATTCTAAACAGTAAGCACTAAATGGTTAATAAAATGAGCACCAGGAAAACGAACAGTTTCTAGCGTTACTGACTCAATCAGTAGAAATGATGTTGCTCTCACAAGTTATTAATTATATAAAGTGTTAGCTCATATAGAAATTGTACTAAAAACCTAAAGAAAGCTCCTTAAAGTTGTAGTCATATTATCACACTCTTATTTTCTCTTGGTTGTACAAAATACATAGCAAATTCGCAACATACAGCTACCTTGGTGGTACTCTCTACTACTGCACAGGGTGGCAACTTTCAGGTCACGTGACAGCCTCAAGATGTCAATGTAACCTTGCTATCACATATTTTCTTATTATGTATCACAAGAGCTTGAAGAAAATATATGATAACCTTTGCCACCTCAGGTGGTACCAAAATTTGCTTTGGCTCATGGACTACAGGGTCAAAATAGCAACCAATAATAATATCTACAATCGCATAATTCCATCACACTTGGAAATGACTTCCGTGATCAACATCATGTTAGCGTACAACGTTTTGAAATTCATTATATGAAAAATTCTCCGTCATACAGAGGATCCATTCTTTGGAATCTTTTAGAATCATCCGCTGTCACGTGAGAGATTATACTAAAAGAGCAAAAAAGTCTCCTGCCCTCAGAAACTTGAAATTTAATGAAAAGTGACCGCAAATGGGTCCAAATCGACAGTGGTTTCGTCATTTATTGATACTACTCATATCTTTTATTGTACATGTAGAGGACTAAGTATAGAGGACTGAAATGTACTGGGCCCGAGCCCTGAATCGTTGGACTGAAATGGACTGCGCCTGAGCCCTGAATCATGGGATGAAGCAGTCAAATGTAATCGGAGTGTCGAGTGCAGTAAAGATGTTGAGTTTTACAGATTATTTGTCGTTTAGCTGTTGTCTTCGACCTGGATTGGGCTAACATACATATCTCACTTTTTATTGACCACATTTATACTTTTAATATCTATATTGACACTAGTGTTTTTTTTGTCGTTTTTGGTGTATGAACAATTTTAACATGGCCCCATAACAAATATTAGCTTTAAAAACCCACCGTGTTTAAATAAAAGATGTTGTATGCCCTAGGTGTTTTTTTTTTCGCCAAAACTGATATGAAGAATGCCTTTACCATCATTCCAATTTCACCAGCTGATTGCAGTCTTTTGGGTTTTAAGTGTAGGGAGTTGTTTTACTATGATAAGTGCATGACTATGGGTTGCTTTAGTACATGTCTCACATTTGAAACCATTTATTGCACAAAGTAAACTTAAGATAAACCACATATTGTATTTGTTAGAGAATTTTATATTAATCGAGTCATCTGAACTTAATGGCAAAAAGACGCTTGACTTGTTGTTAAGCTCCAAAGAAAACCTGTGGTCCCTCAACAATTTGTGCTCAATACCAAGTAATGAGTAGGAGTTTTCAGGAATATATAGCGACTCTTTTGCACTGATTCATTGACAGAATTACTTACCTACAACATGCAATAAATGTAATCAATATTTTCTCTAAGCTTAAGACAGATAATGTTGATTTGGCGGTGCAGGCAGGCCACCAATCCAGCAGTCACAAAAACAAGTCCCTGCAGTGGTCACACACGTATGCAGTCTCCCGCCGTTTAGAATCAGTATCTGAGTTCTTCTTCTTACTCCTAATTGGTTGTACTGGAAGCATGTCCATGGAAACTTTTCTCTTATGTGTTACTATTTCCCGATCATAGCCCTTCAGAGAGAGCATGAGATGAGGATGACTGTCAACTTGTCTTCCAAATGTAAAATGATAGGAGTGAACTGTGTGCTTTTGTTCACCTTAAATGCTTTCCTGCTCAGTTATCTCGTCCAAGTAGTCAAGTGCGTTGAGTGCTTGCAAGAGTATAAACGTACCTCCAAAGAAACTAGTATTGCCTTTCAATACAGTTCTCACGAAAACAGCGATCTCTTTTACACCCAAACACGGCACAATGATTTTTTTTCCTATTACAAGCTTTTTCAAGAAAAACTTGAAAAAAAATTGCCTAAAAAGCACACGTACACACTGAGCGAATATGTCGAATCGGCTCATACCCCCTAGGTATCCCATAATACTCCTTAAATCTAATTAATTATGGCTGCCATATCGGTAAAAAAGTTTACTGTTGCACCTAAACGTTTTGAATATTGTTTTTGTAGGTAATCAAAATCCTTTCCTATCTATTCCTCAGGAAAACAATTGTGAAAAAACAACGGGTTCAGATTCCTGGTCATATGCAAAACAGTGTAAAGCTTGGCTTTATTAATCTCTGACATATTATTTACACTCCAGTAGTGGTGATTGAACTTTGTTAAGACAATCAGGTGATTGAAAACTCTGACATGTACATGCGCATGCTCATCAATTCACAGAGGAACGAGCAAGAAATGTGCACGAGTTTTAAGAATGGGTTGATACAAGAATGCCTGGTGGGTTTGCAGCCCACCTTTTCTAAATTTCACCTGAAGATGTGTTTGTTAGAGCAATGCTTCTACACATTGTTTTACTAATTGGGAAGTACCTACATTCACTGAACAAAAAGGAGGTACATTAGGACAATCTGATCTTAATTTAAAATCACATACTGACCTAGAACAGGACATAATCACTTTTATTGCAAATCCTACCACCATTTGAGGTCTGGATGACACAATGTTTTGCCCTTCATAATAACCTAGACATTCAGAAAGTGGGGAGAGGCAGAAGGACATAAAGCAAGCCAGTGAATATAGGGAAAGAAGAGACGTTTATCAGCACCAGTCCCTTTTTAACATTTTTAGCCCAGTGTGGATGTACATACTTTCTAGACTGTCTTCATGCATTACCTTTAAGTATTATTTTAAGAGATGTTACGTGAAGTATTTGAACCCCTTTAGTGTCTCTATGACTATGACGTACATCAAGATTTTGAAGACCAAAGTAAAATCGTCACCACACGAACTGTAAAATCCTTTGGACAATAAGATCTTTGTTACTTGAGAGACTGGTGACTATTAGTTACCAGTCTTCCATATATGAATCCTTGTTTTTGTTTGGCAAAGCTTCGCCCGTAACTTTGCGCCATTTTGTTTTTGTCGTGTTGCGAGAAGGTCCGAGGCGAGTTTGGCAATATTGGTAAAATTCTTGGGAAAGCACAGGCAGCCCAAGCTCACGTCACGTGAAAGGATTAGATTAATTATTAGCGGTGTGCGAGCCGGGACGTGACTGTTCAACGAAAGCGGTATTGGGTTACATGGCGGCCGTGAATTTATAAAGGATTTGTATGGGAATCCACGTTATAGATTTAGGAAGATAAATACTCGTAGAAATTCTCAATAAAAAACGTCTTACCTTATTTACATGGTGTGTTCTTGCTTGCTGTGTGGTTATTTTCCCGATCCGGTGCGATTTTAGCGATTTTTTTCATTTCTGAGTTTCCACTACTAAAGAGAGAGCAAGGCCGAACACTTCCAATCTGGACAGCCCGCCGAACGAAGCCAAAAATTCCAGGTTAAAATATCCCCACGGCCAAAATTCCACCGCAGAATCCAACTACAAAGGTTAAACTTTCATTTCAACTTTCTAGCCACGCAATCGCATCCCTGCGAGCGACGCCAGGCGGCAGTTTGTTTCCCCGATGAAACAGTAAAACGTTGGGCCAGAACCGCGTACAAATCCACCACGACACAACGACCGTTGAAATCGGCTTGGTAACCTCGTCACGTTGACAAACAAAGACTCACGGGGTACACTAACGCAAATTGTCAACATGAATTTCTGTTCTCATCCTGGGTCCCCTCGGGTCGAATCGACAATACCGCATTGTCTCAATCGACCAATCAAAATCGCGCCGTGTCGTGTTTACAACACGAAAGTTTATGCAAACTCAGAGGAAACCCAGGGAGATAAATACGTGGAGCTGGAGATTTTATTCTTATTACGTGGAGATTTGTTTCTTATTACGATGTGATCATCTGGAAATTCAGGACAGATTTCTTTAGCGTTCAGTCATGTAAGTCTAATGTTTATTTCGTTTGTTTTTTATTCAAGCGTTTGAATCTTCAAGTTCAGGAATGATATTTTGGCACCTCGTTGTCTTTGTAATCTACGAGCTAGCGATGGAAGTGACATTCATCCACTCTTAATTTTCCAACTTTAGGGTGAAGCTCAACGAGGACCAGAATACTATAGTAAAGTTTGCCTCCGAAGGCCATAATTTATTAATTACTGGCCAGGCTGGAGTCGGGAAAAGCGAGGTGGTGAAAACGATAATCGGAACATCGAAAGCACGTGGGAAAAAGGTAGCTGTCATATGTTCTAGCGGCATTGCTTGCCAAGTATACGATCGTGGCGAAGCGTCAACAGTGCACTCATACTACGGCCTTTCGACTGCGGAGTTGCCTTGGTGGCAAGTTATTGATCGATCTTGCGAGAACTCTTTAATACGAGACAGAATAAAGGCCATCGATGTAATCATCTTGGACGAGGCGAGCATGTCCTCTCAGAGGATGTTTGAACTTGTCAATTTTCTGCATCACGAATTAGCGACAGATGATTGCAAGAATCTCCCTTTTGCAGGAAAGCAAATCATACTTATTGGCGAATTCCTTCAGCTGCAACCTGTACCAAATCTCTTTGATGAAGGCCACTTCGTGTTTTTTTCCCCGTTGTTTGACTTTGCTGTGGCTCATCGTTTCGGTTTAACGGTGGTTATGCGACAGCAAGACCCAGCATTTTTGTCCGCTGTATCAGAAATCAGAGAAGGAAATTGTTCGTTGGCCACAGAACATTTTATCACCTCTTTGCAAAGGGAATTACCCTGGCAACTCCTTCAAAATGCTACACATATTTATTTCAGGAAGGTTCCTGTGCAGCTAGAAAACCGACGCCAGCTGGATGCAATCAATGAAGAAATGATCACTTTTCAAGCAGACTTTGAAAATGACAGGTCGAGGAGCATGAGCTGGCCAGGAGCTTCCATTTTGCAATTGAAACGTGGCTGCAAAGTGATGCTGGTTTGGAACAAGTCGGATGACTTGAAAAACGGTACCCTTGGTATCTTCACTGGTGTAAAGGGCAATGACCTGTTGGTCAATTTTAAAGAAGTAGGGATTGTCGAAATAGGGCGGGAAACGTGGATAAAGAGGGATAGGAATGGTCAAAGGATTGGAAGTGTGACGCAGTTTCCTATCGTGCTCGCTTATGCGTGCACTTGCCACAAGTCACAAGGGCTCACTTTGCCATCTGCAGTCGTCCACTGCTTTAGAGAGTATGTACCGGGGCTCATTTATGTGGCGATTTCAAGAGTCAAGTCTCCCGAACACATACAGGTGTTAAATTTCAATAGTCGACAGCTTTTGAAGCCGCAGAAAAAGGCTCTTGATATCTGCTCTTCAAAACACGTTTGCCAGCCTGTTGCTGACCTCGCCTGCTGTCGCAACAAGACCATCAACCAAGCTAATATGCTCTGTGTAAGAGACCACTACCAGGATATCAACCAGGAAAACGAAGAGCCCTATACATTTCCATGTGACATGCTCGATGGGCCAGTACGAGCGTGCTTTGAAGATGATGAGGTTGCTACCCCAGTGGAGCTACTGGACATTTTTGAAAGGCTGACCAGGCATGAATCAACGCTGTCAAGTCCCCCCGACGAATTTTTCATCAATTCTCGCACTCGCCTACTTTCCATGAAAACAGAATTAGTTGTGTCTCCCTTTCAAGAACAAAAGAACAGTATGATTGACTTAATGGTAAATGATGCTTGTTGCATATCAAAGGTTCAACCTTTTTTAAAACTGATTTGGTTTCATGTATTCCTGCTCATCGAAAACCACGAGGAAATTGTCGTTGACATCGGACGGCAAGGATTCACTGAGGTGACTGGTGCGTTGCATCAGTTTCAAAAATAAATTGCAGCACATGGGTTGCAAGTTCAGGTTCATCACCCTTGCCTACAAGCAAGCAATGTGCTCCTTAATTAGTGCTTTGTGATATTGATATTGGCATATATATGATAAAGCTCAATTAATGGTACTCAACTTTGACTTTCCATTTCAAATCTGTTTTAAGTTATACAATAGTATCAAGCCAGTACGTACCATGGCCAGTACGTACATTGTATAGCTCAGGTGAATCATTTTTATAGCAAATCATTTCTTTTCAAACAGTTAACTTAAGTTTAATTGAAGAGGTGGGTGTAAAAGAGACTCTAAGTGACTATTATTCTGATAAACTGCTAGATTCTCCTTTCAAATTGAATTTTCTTGTAAAACAAAACCATAAACTGTAATTTGACATCACATCAACAGTCACTTGGGGCCTTATTCTATGCACCCTTTACATTAATCTGGTAATCTTACTTGAGAGAGCCTTCATTAGTTCATGGCCTTTTCCAAGGTCCACAAAACCAACAAGCTTGTGTTTCCCATCAACATTGGCCATCTCTAAATTCTCCTGAAAATTTTGACCAAAGCCAATGTATGAGATTTATAATGAACAAGAGTTTACGAACAGTTTGAATTAAACTGCAATATAACAGTATTATGTTGGATAGTGCATCATCTCCTCTTGGTGTTTATATTTTTTAAGTATTACCAGTCTCTTTGGTATTGTTGTTTTATCTTCAGTAAAACATAATTGTTATGGAATATTTCCAAAATATATTCTATGCAGATTTGAATTAAGGGTACCTGGATCTTCATTTCGTCAGTCACAAAACCACCCATGTAGTCTGCTGCTTTCAATCCACTTTCCTTGGCAGCCTCCAGGCACCATCTCAATACTTCAGGGTTCCATCCAATTGTTTCTTTGACTTTGTTTTTGTAGAGCCTTTAAATATCAGTAAACATGGAGCAGATTGATAGGGTTTCAATATACTAAAATGTATTGGATTTCAGATTTTGCATGTAAATATTACTATATATAGGACATAGGCATTAATGGTAGTGGGAATGAATTGCATCTTTACAGCATCCACCTAGCTAGATTGTTCATGCTTAAAAAAGACAAATCATGTAAATGGTCTTGGTCAAAGGACACTCAAGAGGAAACTGTTCTTAGTAAAAAGAGATTGCATGAGACCAAAGAATTTGTATAAATACCTTAGGACAAACTGTGTGCACAGTTTAATTGTAATCATAATCATAAATATCTACAATCATGTGAAACAAGGATGCTTAAATTACTCACCTTATAGTTTTGTTGCTTGGAAGAATTAAAAATTGTCGGAGGGGATCCAAAACGTGGGGGTTTTTACAATAAAAGTCCAGGCACAGTCTCATAACTCTGTATCTGAGAAAAAAATAGGCTTTCAGGAACTTACTGTATTGTTTTGCAGTTGTTGTAATTTCATGTACATACTGTATTTTTTATCAGCAATATGTTGAAGTAAATTATGCTGATAGGAGTTTTGTTAGTTAAATAGTATGTTAATTACATGGCAAATAAATTTTGAGACACTTTGGTTTTAGGTTGTTGATCATCATCTTAAGTGTTGCAGCAGGTCCATTCTAATCCCCTTTACCCAGGGAGATTTATTTTATGTAGCACCTGGATGAAGGGGAGATCCATAAGAGTCACAAGAAAACAGAACAATACATTCTGAGGGAATCCGATCGAGGTTACTCAATCATCCTTTCAATTCAAACAGTCAACATCTAGTAACGTAAAAGTCTCCCTCCCTGTGGAGAACGTCCCTCTTGGTCAATTTCCCAGAATAAATCCAGCCACACCCATGGTTAAAAAAATTCAAGAAATTTGTGTTTTAAGTTGTAGCTTGATCTTACATGTATGACTAAAAGTTGGTTACTTACTTTGGATGCCACCGATAACCGTTTTTGGTTTTGCATTCCAACAGGTTTTTCTGTTGTTGCCACAGACAGGCCATCTCTGCAGGAACATTCTGTTTTGCTATGTTTAAAAAAATTTGGGACAAATCTTCGTCATCTTCCCGATCCATTTCATTGCACTGGGACTTACACTTTTCTTTCCAGTAGTGCTCCCTTTTCTCGGCGTTATAACGTGCTTGCCTTTCTTCGGCAAGTTGCTGCACGACTTCACTTTTAGAGAGATACCTTTTATTGGTACAAGGATGAATGGTGTCTCTTGCCTCCTTTCGTCGCTTAGCTCTGGCACCTAGAACTTTGATTTTCATGCAGTTCGCACAGCAAATGCCTTCTCGGACACGAACAATACTGCAGTTGCCAGAGAAAGCCCTTATTTCCATTACGTTGGTAGCTCCTTCCGTGAAATCCACATAGTTTCCCGTGTTATGGGAAAGGGTAGTGGTTTCACCATTTTCCATTGGTGCTCCTCTACAAAGTTGGCCATTATCAATAAATGCCAGAAACAGGATGGCTGTCTGACTCAACGGATATCGCTCTATGCTTGCTACATCCACTAGGTTCGTGATGTCACTTTCGCAACCATGAGAAATCGGGGTGTAACGAATTTTTGAAGAAGGAAGTTGAGTTACCTTGAATTCAATAGAAACTCGCTGATTATTGACTGACCAGGACTCGTAACGCATAAATGACACAAAGTTCGGGTGGTTGCTTATCTTGTTCCATCCACCAACAAGTTCCATCCTACTTTCCCTAAATTGCTGGAAAGTCTCCTGTGGTACTTCGGATTTTTTAGGATCTTTAGGTCTTAGGTTGAGGTAACAGCTTCGCCGATCTTTGCGTGGTCCACGCCTCACTAATTTGACTTTCTCTCCCCATATTTCACTAACAATTTTTCCAAGTAGAACGGAATTCAAGTTGGAGGAGAAATTTTCTTTCTGTTGAGATCCTGCCAATAAAATATCTTTAGCCTCCGTGAGACTATCTGCACTTTCTTCGTAGTTACACATCACCCTATGAAGAACAACGCTTTTTCTTACATCGATACGAGCAAGCGAATATTATGAGAAGCTTACAAAATCCGCGTAAAGGCGAATACTTACCATGACTTCCACTTGAGCAATGCCTTAATCTCCTCGTTTTCTCCTGAGCTTTCACTGTCGATCGGACGTTTCCTCGGCCTTGCAGCCATTTCAGAGAAATGTGTGTAGTGTACAACAGAACGGTTTTCAAAATTTGTAAACACGACACGGCGCGATTTTGATTGGTCGATTGAGACAATGCGGTATTGTCGATTCGACCCGAGGGGACCCAGGATGAGAACAGAAATTCATGTTGACAATTTGCGTTAGTGTACCCCGTGAGTCTTTGTTTGTCAACGTGACGAGGTTACCAAGCCGACTTCAACGGTCGTTGTGTCGTGGTGGATTTGTACGCGGTTCTGGCCCAACGTTTTACTGTTTCATCGGGGAAACAAACTGCCGCCTGGCGTCGCTCGCAGGGATGCGATTGCGTGGCTAGAAAGTTGAAATGAAAGTTTAACCTTTGTAGTTGGATTCTGCGGTGGAATTTTGGCCGTGGGGATATTTTAACCTGGAATTTTTGGCTTCGTTCGGCGGGCTGTCCAGATTGGAAGTGTTCGGCCTTGCTCTCTCTTTAGTAGTGGAAACTCAGAAATGAAAAAAATCGCTAAAATCGCACCGGATCGGGAAAATAACCACACAGCAAGCAAGAACACACCATGTAAATAAGGTAAGACGTTTTTTATTGAGAATTTCTACGAGTATTTATCTTCCTAAATCTATAACGTGGATTCCCATACAAATCCTATATAAATTCACGGCCGCCATGTAACCCAATACCGCTTTCGTTGAACAGTCACGTCCCGGCTCGCACACCGCTAATAATTAATCTAATCCTTTCACGTGACGTGAGCTTGGGCTGCCTGTGGGGAAAGAAGCCAAGATTTCATGCCCAGGAAGTTCTAGAAAGGCTCTGGAGTGATTCTGGTGAGGAACAAGATTTAGACAGTGTGGAAAGTTACCAAAGTGAAGTTGAATTGCCTAAATTAGCGAGTGAGACCAAAGTGACCAGTTGAACAAGATGAAGCTTCTGATGGGGGAGATGGTGGGAATCGTGTAAACCGTGTAAGGCAAAGGCCAGCAAAAAGACAACAACGAGCTCCCCTTGTTTAGCGAATGGCACATGGAACGATAGCACTCGCCGTTCCATTCAAAGGAAATCCTGGTGCGCAAGTACAGACTGTAGGGTTTCCACCCATATGACTGTTTTGCCCTAGTGGCTTCATTTTACCAGTGAAATAATTTCAAAAGTAATTAGTACCATATTTTGATTGGCATGTACTCTAATTTTACAAATTAATGCTAATTTTTATATTGAAATTATGTCATTAAGCGTCAAATTACAAAAATCAATAATCACACAATTTTAAAGTAAAGATTTTTTATAGTAGTTTTAAAATATACACGTATACTTTTGTTCAGTTATGTTCTCTTGCCAAGGAGCTATTTACATTTTATTGGGGACAACCTAAAATGCTTCAAAAAAAGGGAAAATGGACCTGGCACTGGGAGTAACATGGGGGTTGGCAGAGAAGAGGTTAAGAAAACTTGTTGGAAGAGCATTTTCCTTCACGTGATAATTTTATTAACTCCCACAAACTCAGTTTTGATAAATATTACTGCTATTGCTGGGGAAAAAAATAACCAGTCAGCTCCTTTTCCATGGTAGCTTGCAAACATATCACCAATTCCCAAAGAATCTCCACTATCATTGTGTGCTCAGCCCAGAACAATATTCCTCACAAACATTATCATGCTACTGTTTGTGATTGGTATAGATTAGTTTATTTATAAGGAATATTGTAATACCACGATGGCACTAGATGTAGACTTGTTCGAATCTTGTCATTTGACTTTAGTAAAGCATTTGACACTCTCTCTCACAAAAAAGTCTGTGAAAAGTTTGAAAGCCTACTAATTTCAATCCATATCCAATATTACAATTGAAGGCTACGAAGACTTTGGAATTACAATGACTGAGAGAAGTCGTCGCTTTTCCGCTGTTATGATCACTGATAAAGACTTTGCTGAGGATATCGCATTGATTTCAGATAACTTGGATAAAGCCCAGTCACTGCTAGAGCGAGTTGAAAATGCTGCCACAGAAGTTGGTCTGCAGATTAGCACCAGCAAGACTGAGTACATGGCCTATAACCTCCGACAACAGGGTGACCTTACTACCCTAGACAATTCAATGCTAAGACAAGTAGACGATTTCAACTACGTGGGCTTTTGGATAGATTAAACAACGAAAGACCTTGAGATCCATAAAGGAAAGCTTGGGCCACTAGCAAAAAACTAACAGCGGTGTGGAAATCAAACCTCAGCAGAGATCTGAAGATACATTCCTTTAGAGCTTCAGTTGAATCTGTTCTTTTGTATGCTGCTCTAAACATAAGCTGGAGAGATCATATATCTGACAAGAAGCTCTGCAGGGATCTGACTCCAAGATACGTCAGCTGCAGTTTAGTGGCCAGTGTTAGAGAAGCAAGAGTGAGACTGTTTCCCAACTAATACTTTGGGATCCAAAACAAGGCCGACGGCCAAAGGGGGGTGCCCAGCAACAACATTCCTTGACCAACTAGAGAGTGACAGCAGTCTTTCGAGGCAGGATCTTGCATCTATCATGGCCAACTGACATGAATGGGACAGACTTACAAAACCAGTGGGGGTGTGCCTGAAAGAGAGAGAGAGAGAGAGAGAGAGAGAGAGAGCGAGCCAGAAGAAAGGGAACTTTCGTGACGAAAATGGGGAACTTTGGTGACGGAAACAGGGAACTTTTCTGACCAAGGGAACTTTTGTGACGCCCATAGGGAACTTTAAGGACGTTCATAGGGAACTTTTGTGACGAGACTGGGGAACATTTGTGACATTAGGGAACTTTTGTGACGACATTGGGGAACTTTAGCGACTTGAATAGGGAATTTTCGTGACTTTAACTGGGGAACGTCGATGATGTTATCATTGTACTATGTATTTATATCTCGTACATCTTTCTTTTTAGCTCTGTTGCTTTTGTAAAGTACTTAAAACATATCAGGATAGGCGCAAGAGGAATATATATTATTATTATGTTCATTTCTGGAAGTTAATTTTCGGCAAAACATTACTTTCAGTACAATAGAAGCAACAGGTATTTTCCCTGTTGATTATCATCATTTCTCAGTTGTTGCTAAACACTGACGAGTCTCTTTTATTTAACAATCCAACATTTTATTTAACCAGGCGCTCATTATCAAACATCACTACATCAAATTTAAAAGGCTGTGCAGCCACTCAGTTCAACACAATAAGGCCTGTGCACTGTAACAGTATTAAAACATACAACGCTACCGTTTCATGATAACAGAACAGGCAAAAACAAGATGTATATTTATCATGACAACACACTATTAATTAATCAATATATTGCTAATTATCAAGAAGGGTATTAAATTTGAACTTTGCCTGATTCTATCAGGTGCATAAACATGGAGACAAGACAAACAATAAGCCACTACCAATCTATTAAAATTCAGCTTGATAGTGAGGCCTAGAGGACGCAAGCAAAAGCTATGAACAAACATGGTGATTTCATTTTATTTGTATCGGTCCTTTAGGCCGCGCTCTCAAGCTGAATTTTAACATATCCGACAAGTGGTCTATTAGTTCCGTTGTCCACTCAACAATAACTTGAATTAGTAACAGTACTTGGACTGAGTGAAGTACAATTCAGGGAGTAATCGCGGGAGTACATGTCATTTCAAAATTGGATGAGCGCAAAATGCGAGGCCGCGTTCAAAATATGAGCACGATTACTCCTTGACTAATTGTATGCCACGAAGTCCAATTACTAATTAATCGTATCTATAACAAATTTCGAAATTATAAATTTCTTGCGAGAACTTCTTTAAAATAGTCTGTAGCATTTTTCATAAGTCATGAGAAATCTAGGAAATACTGCGACGGAAGCCATTAGAGCGCGCGTAATTGACGTGCAAATCACGTGGGTATCCCATTACAGGCACCCAATTACGAAAAGTTCAAATTAGATACCTGTTATTGGATACCCACGTGATTACGCGCCGATTACATGACAAATAAGCGCGCAGAGAGCTAATCAAGATCAATGATATTGTTATAGATACCATTAGTTAGTATAAATCGTATGAGAAACGTGTACTTAATCTCCAGCAAATCTCAGGACGCTTGATATAATTCTTTTACGAACGCAAACAATGCTGTAACACTTTTACTCCGAAGGAAAAATTTAACAATGCATTACAACGAAACTAACTCCCCCAGAGGTGGGTACTCGGTTGAAGTTAAAGCTGTACAAGAGCACAGGATATATATCTAAATATATAGAAAATCTTGAGATAAAAAAGAGATCTTAAATACAAAATCTAACACTAACAATTTGATTGTAATCAACAAACAACTCTCATGTTGAGCTGTCTTAGGCGCTCTTAAAACGCATTTGTCTTATTTCACGCGATTAATAGTTGGTATGTTAATTTCCGCAATACAAAACAAGAGGTGATTTAGCATGTAAAATGCAGATCTAACACCTATGTTAAGACTGCAATAAACTGTGAAGTTTTTGAAAACAACTCTGATATTAGTTAAGTTGTTAAGACCGTCTATGACAGTCCAACATTAGTGTTGAGTTGCCTTAGACGCTCTTGAAACGTCTTTCGTATTTACACGATTCATTATTGTGTCTGAGGATGCTTTTTGTACTTGTCCCTATCCTCCATTATTGTTCTGAAAAATTTCTTTCTTCCTGGATCTTGAGATGGGTACAGATATCGTTATCGATGCTTTAAACATAGCTCTCAATATGTCAAGATCCGAAGATGAAAGACTGCAATAAACTGAGAAGTTTTTGAAAACAACTCTAATTAGAGAGCGTCTAAGACAACTCAACATTAATGTTGAGTTGTCTTAGGCGCTCTTAAAACACGCCTTTCGTATTTCACAGGATTAATTATTCCGGGCTGTCCAAGTAAGCTTTTTGCAATAGTCCCTTTCCTCCATTTTCGTTCTGAGGAATTTCTTTGACCTTGGGTCTTGAGATAAGTACGGATGTCGTTATCAACACTTTAAACATAGTTAACAATTATTCACCGAAGTGGAGGTGAATAGTGATGGATATTTACCGAACCACGAAGCGGCAAGGCCGGTGAATATCCATCACTTTCACCGACACTAAGGTGAATAATTGTTTTAGTATATACCACACAAGCTGAAAAATTAGCGGACCAAAACGTTATTTTATGTGTGACAAACGGTCAGAAAATAAAAATCTCTCGCGCCGGTTGCTCGGAGGTGAATAGTGCTGGCTAATCACGTCCGAGTTAACCAATCAGAGCGCGCGAAAAGCACTATTTACTTGTGTGGTATATGCTAACTGTCAATATGTCAATATTGGAAGATGAAAGACTGCAATTAATTGTGAAGTTTTTGAAACCTCTCTAGAGTTTTTTTGAAGAGCGTCCAAGACAACTCAACATTAATGTTGAGTGTTCTTAGATGCTCTGAAAACGCGCCTTTCGTATTTCACACGATTTATTATCGTGTCCAAGGAAGCTTTTTGCATTAGTCCCTTTCCTCCATTTTCGTTCTCAAGAATTTCTTTGACCTTGGGTCGTGAGATGGGTATGGATGTCGTTATCATCACTTTAAACATAGCTCTCAATATGTCAAGATCCGAAGTTGAAAATAGGTTTCGAACGCCACTTGCCTCTGTCGTTGTGGTCGCTATATCCCACGGATTGTTTTGGACATCAAGAGATCTTTCCACTCTTTGTTCTAGAGTCTCTTGTTCATCGGGGAGGTTCACAGGCTCTGATTGTGTGGAGGAGGAATAACGCCACGTCCCTCGAACTTTGTCAAGAATCTTCTTTGGATCTTCGTCCTTTAACTCCATGTTATCCGCTATCTTTTCCCTCACCGTTGCCATCGTCACAGATTTACTCTTGATCTCCTCTTCAAACAGATCTCTGATTACCATTTCTTGATCTTTGCTCAAGGTACATTTAGAAGCTCCACCCTCGTCCACTGTGGAAATGCTTGGGCTTTCATCATCCCCGCGCATGACTTGACGCAGATGTTGGGAAGCCTTGACAGAGGATTTCGATTTTTCTCGCAATCGATAAAATCGCGTGGCAGTGGAAACATTATGGGCCATCAAATCCGCCAAATTTCCTCTTGCTTCATTGCTTTCGCTGCAGCTGTGCACGCTTGACACTGCTGATTTTCTGAATAATGTGGAGCTTGGCGCACCCTCGACTTCGGCCTTCTTCCATACGGACTTAATGGCTTTGTTGATTTGACTTGAAACCATAGCCTCTCCAGTGGACGTTATAAAGACACAATTGTCTGGCCCAGTGTTAGAAGCAGTGATTTTCAAACGCACTTCTCTGAGGAAGACGTCCATCCAGCTTTTCAATTTTGCAGAGAAAACAATTCTGGCGGGACCATGGGTGCTCACTGTCTTGTGATTCTTCACAAGAACAACAAATTCGTCACTTTCCTTTGTCATTCTGTCATATTCCGCTACTGTCATGTTCGCAAGAGCCCCCGCCCTATTAGCGTTGTCAATAGATATCTCAACTAGGAGAAAATCTCGAATCAAAGTATACTGAGCTTGGGTGATCTGGATGTTGTGCGCACCGGACAGTTGACCTAACAAGCATACAACATCTCTTGCAGCTTTGCTTGTTTCAAACCGCTTTATTTGATCTGGAGTGATCAAAGCATGGAAGTCTTCTTCCATCTTTTCCCATTGTCGTTTGGCGCAGTTCTGGCGAAATGATGATGACCACCGGCCGACCTTGTCTCTCAAAGAGATAACAGTTTCCTTAGAAATGGTTAGTCCAACTTGCCCAGTGAGGGAATAGGAGTAAAAGTGGCGTAGACTCATAAGATAACTCTGTGTTGTTTTGGGGTGGTATTCTTTCTTTGCATAGTCCTCGAGGAACTTTTGGTTAATAAGGCAGCCGTCAAACAAAGATGTCAAATTGCACTTGTCATCCACCACCTTCAAAAGCTTTGAAACTTGCTTCCCATGCTGATGGCTGGTTTTCTCATCAAGCTGACCTCCATCAGCCGATCTAAGCCAGGCTTCAAATTCAGTAATGACATCGTCAGCCAATTTTTGTGGATTTTCAAAGGAGCTTCCGTTTTCATCTGTCTCATCTTCAATCTTTTCAATCGCTTCAACTCTTACGTGTTCAATCTCCTCAACTCTTGTGTGAATACTTCTATGCTCACTTTCTTTCTCTTCGCTTTCGCTGTCGTCAAGAATTCTTATACGTTTATACTTCTTTGAACTTTTTCTAGGGACTTCTATTTCATCTTCACTCTCGACAAGCTCCTCAACAATCACAGGAGATTCACGCTTGTCTCTCCCAGAGCTACGCTGTCTTTCATGATAAGGTCGCCGTTGTGAATCACTGACGGGTCCTCGCACCCTTGACAATGCAGCCTTGTATTCGGTGGAATCTGGAAGTAGTTTGTGAACTTTCTTAAGATGAGGAGGCATTCTTTTTACAAGCGATGTACAACCATCCATTGGACAGTAATGATAATGGTGGTAATCCTTTCTTTTTCCATCTTCTTTCTCTGCCATATTTTCTTTTGTCGGTTTCTTTTTCTTTTTGGGCACTTTGCTTGGGCTTGAGTAACCGTAGGTCTTTCGTAGACCAAAGCGTACAAGGGCAGTGCGAGCATGCTCCTTGGTCCACCCATGAACGTCTACCAGATGGCGTGGAATACGAACCACTTCGGCATTACATTGCGGAATAGGACAAGGCCTCTTCTCTTGCTTGATCCTCACGCCACTGTGAGATACCTCCTCTTCTTTGGCATCCTGATTATGTGAAAAACATACATGTTCTTATTGAAGTTACAGTGTGACAGCATGGAGTACAATTTGCTCTAGCCACTTTGCGAACGTATTTACAAGTTATGCCCCCCTCAATCGACAAACTGTATAACTGATTTACGTTGGTATCAGAATCTGAGAAATCTGTAATATCAACATGTTGTGCAAAGATCTCACCTTGGCCGATTAAAAAATATATATCAAAGACAATTCAATTTTCATTTTACAACATATTGTTCGCATCGATTTTACCTCGTGTTTTATTAAGACAGAAACAATGTTGATTTTGACTTCTGCCCACATTAAGGGAAATAATTAGGATATTTCACGTGCAGGATACAAGGGACTATGCATACATTTCATAAATAAGTAAGCTCTTCGACTGCTTTACCTCGCTCTCAGCACCGGAGGACTCCGTTAAATCAGCATTCTGTTCTATGCTGCCACCCTGAATAAACCACAAAATATAAGAGTGCGTTAAATTCTAGTTTAACAACATGTCTGTCTAATTCATGTCATATTTTGAAAAACTCTGTTGTTCCTGTGCAGGGTTAAATTCATAATGCTGCGCCTACAAAGCTTAAAGTTGTCAATATATTAACTTCTGAGGTGGCTTTGCTATGAGCCTCGTGGTTTCTTTTGGAGGTCTCCCCACCGCTTTTTCGAATTCAGCATTGTTAATATAATTTCGTCTTTATTTACGCGGCAAAAAAAATTTGATTCTGCTGCTGATGATGACAATTATGAAAATAAAAGTTACATTCTTCAATTCGTAAATGCACACCGTATTTTTTTTTAATTTTCAGCTACACGCAAAAAGCATTATTCTATTGTAATGATATAGACCTAACATTTTTTAAGTTTGACATTAAATAAATGTCATCTCGATATTTTGTAACGGGAAGGTCACTTAATTGGTGTTGGGGGGCATAGAAAAGAGTACAGTGGTGTACGACCAGTGAAAAAATATCCATACGTATCATTATTGACATTAGACTTACTGGAGGGCTGGTCTCAGTAGCGTAGAGCTGATTAACAAATTCAGAGGCCTAAAAGAGAAAAAATTATCATTTAGGGTCGAAAAAAGGAACGTATGCAAGGAAAAAAAGCAAACATTTTGTGGAAACAAGGTCTCACTGCCAAAAGAAATCCCAGACAAGTGATGGGTGAAAAAAGGAGACCCTGGAAATGAGTGTGTCCCAACCCCTCCTACACCACTTTGAAATGGTCCACTCCAAAGGACAAAATATAATTTAAGGGCTTTGTTTCATAAACCAACCGAATACTTGTTTCTGCTCTTATAGCTACAATTCTAAGATTACAAGCCCCTAAGCAAGAGACGACCTGCGATTCCACGAGAAAAGCATAAACGGAATCATGCATTTTTTTAGGAAAGCCTCAGACACAGGAATTGTCACATACATCACCCCTTAATTTGTCCCTTAATCGAATTTCGGCACCGGTAAGGCATCACTTCTCCAGAGAATCGTTGCGCAATGACCCCCAAAATGGCTGTGCAAGGTTCTTAATTAATCAGACCTCTAATCTTAATACCTTTGTGTAACTATAGGCTATGAATCAAAACTTACCCTTAGTGGCTCCATGTCGTGATTGAGCCAAACAATAGACATGAAATTTTAATTCTCCTGAAAAAAAAAGGCTAATGAAAAAGAACATCAATTTCCCATAGCCTGCAAGCAGGCTCATGTTGGGGCACAAGCTTTGCGGTGTAACGGCGAGCTCGTAATGGAGCGGCGAAGCCGTGGGACGAGAAAGTAAGCGTACTCTGGTCTCTGCAATTTTTTTCAATTTCCACCCCGGAAACCGCAGAAACGAATAAGTCAATAATTTTTCACCCGCAAGTATGGACACAGATTTCTTGAGAAAATTGTTATTCTTTTTCATAACAGCATGTAGGCGCCATATCCGTTGTTGATAAACTTTTACCGAAGAAAAACTATCAACGTTTATCTCTACTAATGACACACACACTTGATCCAAGTGATCTTGCTTTGGCAATCTGGTCTTTTGCAATGCTGGTAAACGGACAAACGCCTTCGTGTTGTTTCATTGCCCGTCTGCAATCACATACGCTTGCAATATTTAATTCTTCCCATATGCAGTCGGCGACATGACAAGTATGCCTTGATTTATTAAAACAATTAAAACTGCTATTTCTGCTCCCCCTTTAGTGTAAAATTTAAGTACTAACACGCTGGAAGTTTGTTAAAACATCAGTAACACGCGCACTCAACTCTTCCTCTGGCCAAATGTCGACGACTTGCTTTGTTTTTTAATATGCGGTAAATTACTGACTCCCTAGGGGTTTAATCGCACTTCAGCAGATATAATATCGCCTTTCCCGCTTTTCGACCAATGGTATTACAATTCACTCGGACGAAGCAGAAATGAAAAAAATTACAGAGACCAGGGTCGGCTCACTTTCTTGGCGCCTCTTCACCAGACTCCTGCCTGCCGGATCGCTTTGCTCTTTTTGCTGCTAGTGCGTATAACTCAAAGGTGAGCCTGCTCGCAGGCTAATTTCCGACAACAGCAAAGCTTTGACGTACGCTTCTGTATCAGTGATAAAATGAGTAAGATAAAAAAATAATAATAATAAAACAATAAATAAAAAAGTTTTGCACACCAAAAGTATTGCGTTCAGGGGCAGACATTAAAACCCTTGCAATAGGCCACTGTATATTACTGAAACTAACCACCTCAAAAAGAAAGGCAAACCAAAACGTGTTCATGTCACTACCTTAAGGTGTAAATAGTCCTGGACTAGTCGCACGAAATTTGTTTCGCCTTTCATCTATCACACAAAGAGCTGTATATGAGTACCATTTGCACATACGTTTAAGCATTGCATATACTACCCTTGACAGAAACAAAACAGTAATACAATAATATGTTAACGACTTTGGAGCGAATTTGCTTGACAACTGACCGTGATTAATTTCATAAGAGTGATTAAAATGAAAACGGGTAATGTTCAAGGCCAATTATTCGGGAGAGCGGCAAAATATGCTCATCTTCACCCCCACCCACCCCTCCCCTTCCACAAAGAGAGATGCTGACCAATTCGTGTGCACATTACGACCTTTACAGTGTAAATAGTCGTGGAATAACTGAAAACAATTCGTTCCCCTTTGTATCTATCACACAAAGACACTATGCATGACGAGTACGGTTTGCAGCTGAGTTGAATCATTCCCATACACACTTAAAGAGGTACAAAACAGTAATACAATACCATGTCAACAAGTTTCGAGCGAATTCGATGAACAACCGAATGTAATTAAGTTAACGAGACAATTAATTCTTACGTCATGGACAAAGCGATTTAACTTTAATGGGTGACAAAAACGAGCCAAAACTTTGAGACAACGACAAAAAATGCACACATACTACTTGAGGCGAGCATTTCGGCAAAAGAAGTTAGACTGCAAATTATAATCGAGCAATTTCACCGTGCAGCAACGAAGGATGATTCCAGGAAAAACAAAAAAGATACTGCTCGAACTGATGATTTATATAAGCGATCGCATATCCCTTACTTTGGAAACGTTGTTCCCTGCATTAAAAACTCATTTTATATCTGTAAAGTATTATACATTGAAAACAACTTACTTCAATTCACGTCGTAAACCTTGCACGTCAATCCAGTTCCTGCCTCGTGGCATTCACTGACTAGTACTGCATGATAAACGTCACGCAAACGTCACGCCGAAGACGTCAATGCACTACACAGAAGTCCCACAGATCATAACTTTCTCTGCGGCATTTAGTTGAGTTCGTTGTAGTCTTGTTAATTTACACCTACTGTAAAAGCTCCATTAATCCCCCGGGGCTTAGTTAATAATGGGGAACTTATTAGAGAGGAGGGCGCAATAGAGAGAAGGAGGGGTTTATTTCAAATCTTAAACATACCGTTTTTGTCCCAGGTAGGTTTTTTTTTCCAAAGCTCAAACAACTGTAGTCTAAATTTATTACGTAATAACGAGTAGCAAACAGTGGTATGTGTTTGAGTGTATATTTCTGTAATAACAAACCAAATGGCTGCAGAAAAAAAAATGGCGAGGGGACATGTTAGATAGGGGCGCTTATTATAAAAGCCTACTTCCAAACAGCGGACTTATTAAAGAAGCGGGGTTAAACAGAGGGGGCTTTGCTAGAGCTTTTTTTACGGTATTGCACTATCTCAGGAGAGGAAAGTAAACCACATCGGTCGTTTATAATACGTGTTCTTTTTCTTTTTCAAAGCCCAATTACAAAATATAGTCTAGACAGAGTTGAACAAAACCATCGTCTCTATAGCTGAGTTTAAGTTATCTGAACAAGAACATTCTGTTATCACTTACTATGATTCAAAATAAAACGTGTATAGCAACCTTAAGACTAGGGCTATCACGATAAACAGATGATAGATTGTCGAGTGAGGCCAGCCTTTATTTACACAATTGTTTGACACATTTAGTAGCAGCGCGTTTAGGAGCGCGCCAATATCCTTACTAGTTTGGTCAGTGTTTTACAGTTATTCATCTGATTCATAACTCACGAGACTGAGATTTAAGCTGGCACCTTTTGTAGATTTCCTTTAAAAATATATACTTGTCTGCTGGGGGATGTGTAGGTCTTAGATTCATCGATCTTTGCGGAGTTGACAAAGCGACATGTTAAATATAGTGTGTGGGTCAGTTCGAAAATTAAGGAGTGCGCCAAGGTTAATTCATGATCTTCAATTTATTTTTCACAATTATAACAACACTTTCCCTAAAACAATATTACTGTAATCATCAGGCGACACAATGAGGCCTGAAGTGGAATTTTTCAGTCACCTGTCCATATACCTCTATATGCAAAGCACATCGAGTTTATAAACCACCTTTTTTCGGTACTGGTTCCTTTTTGTTGTAACCAACAAATCTGAAAATTAAACCACCCGTTGCTATTGCAGTATTGTACAGTTAGATAGTATCATTTATTCCTGCCTCTCCAAAAATTGCGGTGAAATGATCATTTGTATCATCTAGCAAATAGGGAACTTTAGTGACTTTTGCCATTTTCTGACATTGGTTCCTTCAAATCTTCATAAAAAAATAACGGATGGTGATTCTGTTGTCAAATTTGCTTTGTTATATTGCCAAATGATTGCTTTAATTGCTGTATGATTTTGAGCTCAATCAATGAAAATTAAATAGCGATTTTTATTGTCCGAACTTAGGAAACGAAAAAAGGGCATATTTCGAATTCTGAAACCTTTCATCGACATGAAAAGTCAAACACATACACGGCAGATTTTTAAAGCCGCAGATATCTCAGATTTAAAAGGTTGTGGTGATCGAGAGAATTGAGTGGCGCATAAATGGTAAGTCAATAGCTCCCTCTTGACCAACAAATTGGATTTAAAGCTTTTGAATTGGCTGATACCACGGCATAGGGCACTTTCGTGCCCTCTTAAGCACAAATAGTGATCTGTTTAAGTCAGGATTAGATGGTATTGGCGAACCTCTCGCATGCAGAAAGGTTAGATCATGACGCTTTGTTAGATGGCTTGTCAAAAGTTACCACACAAAAAGGCTTGATCTATCATCAAAAGAGGGAAACGTCAGAAAAGTGCCCTAATATTCTTCTAGAGAGAGAGAGAGAGAGAGAGAGAGTTATCAGCTTCCTTGGCAATCGTATACAAAGTCGTTTATGGATGAGAAGATTACTGATTATGTTGATATTAACAGGTAGGTGCCGCAGGGTGCAGTCCTTGGACCACTTTTATTCCCACTGATGGGGAACGATATAAAGCTAGTCAATTCAAACAATAGAATCTCAAAATATGCCGATGACATCAGTATGAGTGTACCTTTTAGAAAGAACTCTGGTATAGTGCTTGCAGAAGTTTAGAACCTTGAGAGCTGGGCAGCCAACAATGGATGTCTGAATTTGGCAAAGACATGGGAAATGCTACTGTGTAGTATAAGTACTAAGCCTTCTCCTCCTCCAGTGCTTGGGATTGAGCGAAAAGAGTGGCTTAAAATTTTTTGGAATTACTTTCAATGAAGATCCTTGTAATTGGGATCTTCATATTTACAGCTTACTTTCTAGAGCTGCAAGTCGACTGCATATTCTAAGAGTATGCGTGTATTGTAGTATTAGTATGGCTACACTAAAGATCAGATTAATAATATCGTCTACCCTTTGATAATGTAATTATTTCTGTATGGATTACAAGTGTGGGACTGCTTATTAAGGAAAATATTTAGACTGGATTGACACCTTTTTTCGACGAGCTTACCGTTTTGGCTATACAAACTTACGAAACGGTTCTTTCAAGTTGGTGAAGTAATTGACATGAAATGAGACCTTTGTGGAAACTTATGGGATGATGAACAAGTGGGAGAAGCTATCAGGTACCTTGAGGACTTTCTCCTTGAACTTGCCAATTTGTACATTGATGTTGATAAGAAAGGAAGGATGAACATTTTTACAACATTTTAGTGAGGCTCCATACCATTTCAAAGTAGCCATTTGTGCTGACGGCTCACTATTTGGAAAGAAGGATGACTGAGTGGCTTCTTTCTTTTATCAATGTAGAAGAATGAATTGCAAGCCACAATGAGAACTTCCTCCTCGC